CACACCTAAGCCCGCGGTAGGGGAAGTTGGTGGCTTTTGTAGGACAAGCGCAGTGACTTTTAGGAAGGGGGTGTTTCTGCCACCGAGGTAAGTGTTTCTGTGTTGGAGAAAGCCCTTTCTGGAAGGGGTTGGCCCGTGGCAGCGCATCCTCCGCGGCTGGCTCCGCCCGTGAGCCGCGTTTGCTCCAGAGCGCCCTAAGGTCAAGTTCAAACCGGCGCTGGAGTAACTTTTGTGACTGTACAATGGTTAAAAATACTCGTGCTGGTTTACTGGGAAAGTATTTTAATCTCTGTGTTTTTCCTAGGGGTGTTTGAAGGTTGAACGGAGCTGTGTCGGTTTATTTATAACTCGATGAAGAAACATAATACAGGAATGCATTTACTTGTATCGGTGAAATTTTGTCTGGTTTAGGGAAGCGAGCAAGTTGTCTAGATGGCAAAGAATGTGTTTTACAGTCATAATACTGATGGTAGTTTTAGCATCCTTTTGTGATCTTAGCGGAAGAAGTTATTGCCTGAGTTAAGTAGTATGTCTTTGGCTTTGGCTGTACTACTTTCATCTATTACAAGAACATCTTTAGGTCAGTATTCTGAACTTACTGAATTAAAATGTACGGTTTGTAGCCTGACACGTCCTACACTGTTGCTTGCGAATTGCTTGACTTGAGGGAAGTTGCTCTTAGGCAGAAGAGTTGCTGTGTGTTGTGCTCCACTAGCGTGTGCACACCTACTGACTGCCTGGCGTGTGTGAGCTAAGGTTTCAGAAAGCGCTTTTGTGAAAGTTCACTGATTTAAGGAACTTTTTACTGTAGAATAGAGATGGCCTCATCGTTTAGGAGGTGACTTACAGTGGAAGTTAAAAGGTCTTGTCTTGTAAGGAATTTAAAAGCCTTTCCCTCCCTGCCTTAGTGGTTTTGCGTGTGTAAATACTATTTTTTATGAAATTGGATATAGTAGTGGATAAAGATTTCAACAGGAAATGTCTGTAAGGAGCATCTCTGGTGGTTTTCCTCTCCTTATTTCCAGGGGCAGAGTTCTACATATTTTCCTCTTTTGCCTTCTTATGTTTCTTGTCTGCCTCTGTCACTGGTGGTGGCTGTGAACGAGCCCCTTGACGTTAAGTAAAACTTTCTGTCATTGTAGACATGTCAATACTGTTGCATAAAAAAATAGGGGCTAGTCTTTATTTCTTGCACGTGTAAGTAGAACATTAGATTTAGATAAGTTATTTATATGCAGTATTTACAGGATTGATTCATCAATTTTAGCATTTGTCTACACTTGAAAGTCAATTCTTATTTAATATGGGGAAAAAGGCAGTCACTATTGTGGCACAATGCTATAATGGTCAGTCTTAATTCAACAATAGCTACTTATGCTGGGAATTATTGAAGAATGTGTAAATATATCTTAAAGTTACTCTCAGCCTTCTTGCCCTTTTCTGGGCTTTTTGTTCAACTAATTATAGAAGTATATTCAGCTTTTAAATTTTTCTCTCTGGTTTTACTTTGTAACGCTACTATCTGGTAATTAATCATTATTCTCTGTTGCAGCTAAAATGAATTCAGAGCCTGATCCCCCCTCAAGTCCCTCTCACCCCCAGCTGCATCTTGGAAGGTCCCAGCTAAACGCAGCTGCTGGGGACCATAGTGAGAACAGTCAGAAATCTGGACCCCCTTCAGGAAATTCCGCAACTTTTTCTTCTTCAGTTCCTGGTTACTCCCGTAGCAGGGAGAAAGCTGAAAAAAAGGGTAAGTATGAAAGTGATTTTTATGCAAAATTTATTTATGTTAAACATTGGGAGATTATTGTGTGTGCATGTATTCTAAACTCTGTTTAAAAAGATGTGATAAAGTCAGAAATAAATTTCTTCAATTTCTTTTAACCTGTTGTTGTGAAAGATACTTTTCCCTTGTAGCTTACAGAGTTTTTGCACCCAATTTGACTTATGTGTACAGAGCATCAGGAAAGAAGTTTGACAAATTGGCAGGAAGAATTAAATGCAATTTAGCATAATATGAAGGTTTCATTTTGATTTCTTTAGTTGGCTAGATTGCATGCTAACTGTAGCTTTAATAAGAATTCTGATGTGGTTGAATAGATACTACTGTCATGTAGACTGAAGGAATAGTTAAGATGATAGATGAAACCAGAGCGACAGAAGCAAAGTTGAGATTAGCAGGCAGGTAGGAAGTTGGATCAAAAACCATGATACACTGAATGGCAGAATGATACTCTTTGCTTCACCCCATTCACTGTGAAACATTTGAGTTTCAAAGGTTTTGAAAACTGATGGGATGAGAAAAATGTCGCATGCAAAAGGTAGAAATTAAAATATCTGGCTCCTGTGCTCAGCTGCTGAGTTCCAGTTTTAAGTTCAGTTTGTAGTCTAACACTTGTGTGAGAGGGTCTTGTGTTCGAGGTCTAGCAAAATGACTGCTCTTCAACTTTAAAATCAGGCTTTTGATTCTCAAGAGTGTTTATGTGCATTCTCTTACGTTCATAAATATGAGTCACTCTATTGAAGGTAATAAGTCTATCCAAGAGTTTAAAATTATTAAATGTGTGAATATCTACGTGGCATGTATTAGATGCAGCAGAGCTTTGCATGTAGTTCAGGCCAATATTGTGGCTGTTTTGGCACATCTACTGTTTGCATCTAATTCAGAATTGGCTGTTGAAACCTTCTGGGTTCTTTGTTACTAAAGGGCACGTTCCAGATGGAGGAGAATTTTTGGAGGTTTGAATTTCTAACATGTTTCAGTGTATCATTACCAACTTTGTTGTCTCACACACCTGTAAAAGAATTCAGAGACAGTGGAGAATTTACACTCCTGACATTAATTACGTGATTGTTAATTTGGGATCAGTGTTAATGTGTATGTTTTACTTTCTTCATTCTCCAGTTTCCTAGTATGCTTCAACAGGGAAAGAATAGCAACAATATGGTATGGAGTTACCTTGGGCTTTGTTATGATTTGAAAGAGGAAAACATAACTTTCTGTCGTTGATACTCACATTAATGCAAAATGAATACAAGCTATCAGTCGAATGGTATTATACGCAGGGATTCTGTAAGGTATTCTTCTCTGGCTAATTTGTAGATTTTCATACTCCGTGTAAATATTGGACTTTTAAAATCATACAAAGATTTGCCTTAGTATGCTTTAGAGGCCTGTGTATTTACTAGTGATCCCTAAACAGTTTTGTATTATAGGTGCTTTTCTTTGTGTCCCTTTAAAGGAGGAATTTTGAGCATTGATTTATTTCTTCATTTCAGTTGTGACTTATTCCTGATTGCTTTAAATCTCTTCCCATGAAAATCTTCTCAGTGCCTGGTGCCACCGTCATTGCCCTTTCCATCCCCATCTTAATATACACAAGTATTTAATGCCTAAGAAGGAGCTGCTGTTGCCATTATGTCATGCCAGAGTCTCCAGCAACCAAGATTTTTAGTTGCAAACGTGCTCAGTAAGTTCGTATTTCTTCATGCAGTATTTTCTTCTACAGTCACTTTTGATTTATGTTACTTGTCAGTACTAGCAGTTTTGAGAACTGAAAACTCAAAATAAAAGCAGCAGAGAATTTTTCTTCCACTCACAGCAGCATTGGTCATCAGAATTCACAAAAGGATTATGGGAGGACTTCAGCAAGAAGTACAAATTCAAAATCACTTATGTGTGTATGGAAACTAATATGAAAAAAGGTGTCTCAGACAGGAAACTGTAACTTCATCAATTTTCAGAGTATTTGAACTGACAGAGAAGATCTTCCTTGGAATCCCCAGAGCCTTTACCAGTAAATAGCATTCAAGTTCCCGATAGATCTAGAAAGAGTGAAGATTGTGGTCCCTTAGCTATGGCATGTTGTGATCTAGTTGTATGAAAGGACATATGCACTAGACCAGATTTTTGGGAGAGGCTGTCCAGACTTCTTTCTTGGAAGATGAAGAAGTTGGTTACTTTGAGTAGTCGCTATATTTCACCGTGTTGATGACTGTAACTCTGAACGATGTACAAGAGGACAGAAAAAAAAACCCACATTGCTGTACAAAAAACTATCTCAATAAATATTATTCAATATCACAGAATGTCAGAGGTTGGAAGGGACCTCTAGAGATCATCTAGTCCAACCCCCCTGCCAAAGCAGGATCGCCTAGATATGTAAATATATAGAACAGTTCTCTTTATTGTTGACTTAAATATCTTGCACAAAATTCTATAAACTTAAATTTGTAGTAGAAGTGATTTAATTTTTTTATAAATTGCCTATGACTTACGTTGGAGAAAGGGAGATATGACATCCATCTCACATATTATCTTGAAAGACAGTTTTACCTTAAGCCTATCTGCCACATGCCCATGTGCCCTGAATGCAAAGAAGGGTAATGGTATCCTGGGCAAAGAGTTGCCAGCTGGTGGAGGGAGGTGATCCTTCCCCTCTACTTGGCACTGGTGAGGCCACAGCTGGAGTCCTGGGTCCAGTTCAGGGTTCCCCAGTACAAGAGAGGCATGGACAGAGTGGCGAGAATCCAATAAAGGGACACGAAGATGATGAAAAACTGAAATACAGGAGGCTTTGTCTGAACATCAGGAGGCACTTTTTTTTTTTTTTCTCTATTGTGAGGGTGACCAAGCACTGTCACAGGTTGCCCAGAGAGGCTGTGGAGTCTCCATCCTTGGAGATATTCAGAAGCCATCTGGACACAGTCCTGGGCAGTCAGCTGTTGGTGGCCCTGCATGAGCAAGGCGGGTTGGAGCAGCTGACCTCCAAAGGTCTCTTCCAACCTCAGACATTTGCTGATTCTTGAAATATTCTTGCTATTTTATCTATTTTTGGCTTGGGCTTTTTCTTCCAATCTCTGCTTATCTATGCTATGTTTAAGGTTGTGGCACCAGCGTGAATGAGAAGGGATAGATTTCCTGGAAACACCCATCTCCTACTGCCGCATTACCCATATCTTGCAGCATGATCTAGCGAATTAATGACTGCCCTGGCTCTGACTCAGTAAAGCATTTAAGCACACACATATCCTTAGCTACAAAGATGCTTCATTTGAACTCCTATCCTATAGTTTTTTTCTTAGCAATTTTTCAATCTATCTTCTGCTAATGTATCATTAGGTAGAGTTTTGGTTATTCCTTGTATAATTCATTTCATGATGAGAGATAACAGTGCTTTGAGAATTTATTGTGCAAATCAAATCTAGAGTTAATGAAAAAAAACCACCAATGTTCAGTTGTTGATCTTGAGATGATTTGTAGGTATTGTTTTTGTTGCTTTAAAAAAGGAGGCTATTCCTATTTCTGCTCAAAGCCATTGCATTCTTTAGAAAAGTTCTGCTTATATAAGTTATTGGGGTTTGTATATGTGTTAGGAGTGGAAAGAATATCAATACATCAACTCTTGTCTGAAAAATAAATTTTAAAAAGGGTTACTCTTTCAAGAGTCTTCCTGGAGAGGAAGTTTATTAGTGACCAAAGCATGTAGACTGCTAATTAGGGCTTCTGAAATTTTAAAACCATTGAGTCATCAGTATTCACATAAGAAAATTACAGGAGAGTTGCCAGTTGCTTAAATAAAAAAGTTCTGCCATAATTTTGTAGTCTGTGCAAAGAGGAGCATGACGTATAGCAAGGAAGACCAGGGGCTGCTTGCTAATGAAGTCTGGTGAAGTTTATTAAAACAGACTAAGACTCAAATCTCCTAAGACACTTTCAATGCCTTTTATGAGGTACACAGGCCCCTTCAATTACTGTCCAGCTGCTACATACCCATTTTTGGCATCTATATTTCATCCACTCTGTGCATCCTCCTTCCTTCAATACAGCCTTAAAGCAGTGCAAAAAGAAATGGCTCAGATGAGCGCTCTGGAGGTCCCAATGCCAGATTCTCCAAATAGGCTTAAAAGCAATATTCTTGCTAGTGAAATCATTTCCTCTATGTGGACAGAGACCAGAGCTAGGAAAAAAGCACCTTCAACAAGTTCCCTCAACGTGCGATTATCTGAATACTCCTGCTATTAATATAACATTTCTGAAAGAGAGGCATGAATCCTTGCTCCAGGTAAGTGCTGTGTTGCTGAGCTAGAACGTAGCTTTCTGTGGCCCAGTGGATATTTTGCTTTTGATTCAGATGAAAAGAAAGCAGATTTGAGAGAAATTTCTCACAATAAAATAGTGGTCTAATACTTGCCTGGGATATCTAGATGAGAGTAACTGCTTCAAGTCAAGCTATAATGGTCTCTCGAACCAGACTTACTCACACCCCACGTAAGTATTTCTTGTCCTGCAGGTTATCTGGAGATTTCTTGCAGTGCTAAAGGACTTTCAAGCATGTAAAGTGTCTTTCTTAAAAATTAAGTGCCAGTCCACCAGTAAAACAGGACATCATAGGATAGTTGAGAAATCTGGGAGGTATTGTGAAGTGATGATCTTTCATATGTGGATGAAATGCTTGGATGTGGTCCTGTGTGACTGCCCTAGGGCATCCTGCTCTGGCAGGGGCATCGGGCTAGATGATCCCTAGACGTCCCTTCCAAGCCCTGACATTCTATGATTCCATGATTTTACATCCTTCATTGTAAGTATGCTGGCCAGTAAGGTTGGAGAGGAAGAATCAGGTAGGCATTCAAAGGTGAGAGTTTGGGAAGTTTCAGGAGCATTGCAGAGTTAAGTTGCAGTGCTTGAACAAGCGTCTCTGGTTAAGGAACTAATTTCTGGTTTGACCATGTTTTTGCTGTTAAGAAAAT